CCCACTCCCAGGAGCAGGGCCAGGGGGGTGAGGGCAGCAGTGCCCCTCTGTGGGCCACACATGCGCTACCTGGCCAGGGGGCAGGGCTCGCATGCAGCAGCTGTCACCGGCCTGCCCTGCCACTGCTGCACTCTGCACTGCTTTCCTGCAGCCGGTTGCATGTGCGGCTCTGTGGGCTGGTGATGGGCAACGTGTGAGGTGTGTTACTAGTTGCTTTTACACATATAATTTGAAGAATTAGCCTGTATGTGTAACACAGTAGTCACAAATGTTCGTTAACAGTATTTTTATCAAAAAAGCAAATGAGAGCTCAGTTAACATAATGGTAGGTGTGCCTACTGTATGAAAAGGGGTATTTATTTGTGTGGGTAGCACACCAAAACTAATAAATTGTAAAAATCTAGGGGAAGATAAGGTGATTTGAAGTATCAATATAAGTTAGCAAGTAAACAAGCCACTACTATATGGAGTAAGGGAGCTTGGCTCATTGTTGCAATGGAGGATAGTTTCCATTTGTTCCCTTCTTTATATCTCCTAACAGTATTTTGGGATAGCTTTTAGGAAGCTAGTTCTTCAATATTACTTTATATTATTAATATGCTGTTGAACTGCTGTGAGAAAATTTTCCTAAAACACATGTTAAGTTGACCTGGTTGGGAATGTTGACTTTTTTTTTAATGAGAAAATGCTGATCTTTAAAGAAGAAACTTTTTGGGGGGCAAATAAACTTTCTAATTTAGATAAAAAATAAGGAAAAGTTAAACTATTAAACTTTATTTCAACTTTTTTTTGGAAATAGTCCAGTTCTGTAGAATGACTTATAAAGTTAAATGAATGTTACCACTTTGCTCAACACTGTACAGAGAAACATACAATATCTGCTGTAAGAGTTTGTAATCTAAAAGAAAACCTTGCATTTTGTATCAAAAAGCCATGTGACACTCAGCTTTGGATACCTGTGGTATTAATCTTTGTCAGAATCCTACTTTGACCTTTTAGATTTGTTTGCACCTCAAACTTGCTAATATCAAACCCACACGTGGAAATTGAAGAAAATATATACATAAATCCCTGTGAAACAGAAATGCTTAGTTCTCTTCTTGAGTTCAGCATGGGGTAACTTGCAAACAAATGCTAACATACTATGGATCAAGAGTCTCTAACACCCACATTGCAAACGAATAGATGCAAAACAGACAGCTGTATTATGCACTATGGGGTCTACAGTGTTTGTATCATTACTTGTAGCCTGATTTTGATCAGTTGATCTAATGTTTCAATCTGCGGACTGAGGGGAAAAATAATGTTAATACTTCAGTCAGTACTATGTAATCTACAGTGTAGAAAGTCAGTTGTTCCAATGTGCATTGCTCACAAATCCTACACTGCAGTAATATTAGAATACAACAGCAGTAAGATTTGCAGAAGCCAGCTGATATCATTTTGGCCAAGTAAAGCTTTAAAGAAAACAAAAGTTTTAATCTGTTCAAATATTCTGAAGTTCAGGAATGATTTAGCAGCTATTGCTCATCTCTTTGTGCTCAATTTGGCTCCAATTCTTCTTCAAACTGCTTTTTTGGTGAATTTTACAACAGATCCTCCCCAAGGCTTTATTCTCTTGGCACTACTGATTTAATCACGCTTTTGCTATGAAATGTTGCCTAATACTACCCTGTAGAGTTCCAGCTTAGGGTTTTGTCCACTCTACTATGAGAAATATGGAGCCTCAAGTCTTGCCTTTGCCCAGGCACATGTATGGCAAGCAGCCCACATGGAGGACATGAAATGGGATTTGTGCTTTGCAGCTGGGTTTTGCTTAGAAGAAGGACCCCTAAGTTAGGCTGAAGAGGGGGAGCCAGATGTGTGATACCTCAGGAAGGGGTTAGCTGGCACTTTGGCTTGAGTCCATTCTAATATGGAAATGTTCAAGCAGCTTTGGCACAGTAGCAGGCAAGGCAGCTAGTCCATTGAAAGTAAGATGCAAAGGCAAGTAGCTCCAAGGCGGGGGGGGGGGGGGGGGGGGGCAGATGACTGAGGGGGATAAGTAGTGGCTAAAGAAGGCTGATAGAAGAGCCCCATGAGAAAAAGCAGCCAAACACCCACAGGGACATGAGAGGTTTGCTCCATCAGTTGAACTAACCAAACAAAATGTTCTGTGGAGCCAGTGCTGAGTTTGGCCAGGCATCTCAGCTTCGTCTCTGGCTGTGTATTGTATAGAAATGTGATGGCTTTGCATACTGCAATCTGAGTGAAACAATTTACAGAGAGAATAAAAAAGGGCCAAATTAAAAAAGAGCAGCTCATCCATATAAAGACCCTAAGGCCAAGGCTGTAGTAAATCAGCATAGCCCCATATGCTGACTGATACCAACTGAGGATCTGGCCGCCTGAATCTTATAAGAGGAATAAAACAGGAAAGTTTTAATCATTTAAATGGTCAAGTAATACAGAACATGATTAGGAATAATCTAATTGACACTTACTCCCATGAGTTGGCCAGGATAACTGTGGTTGTATCCAAACGTGAAGTTTTAATTCCATCTGGTAGTGCATTTATGTGCATTTATGTTCATATACACAGTGGGTACATCTACAGGGTCATTAATGCACCCTAGTTACTGTACATTTAGTTTACTACTTCCTTAATGAAGTTCTAACTGAATGCTTAGTAACTAGAGTTACTGCACATTAGTGCCAGTGCATGGTTATTTTGTGTCGCTTACTGCACATTAGTCTAATAACACTGTTCAGTAGGCTACTGGCAGAGTTTTTAACTGCCATGCTACTGCATATTGTTATTAGGCTAATGTGCAGTAATCTTCTCATGTAGACACTCTGAGTAACAGGAAGTCATACTATTCAGACTATTGATCAAATTCAGGAGTACAAATGTGTTGGAAACACCTGAACACTGAACAAGATGATCCTTAAAAAAGTAAAATCTCTAGGTTACTTGAAAGTTCCCATTTTAGCCATCCAATTTATCCCACAAAGGTTCTGTTGCACAGCACATCCGATAAGAGTAGTTATCACTATTACTGTATTGTGTTTTGCATTCCAGGATGTCATTGATATTAGTAACTGGAGATTGCAAAATATTCATTTGCAGAGTCATTAGTAAATCTGATCTCTCTGGGCCTTATATCACAACTAGATAAAAATGAACTAAACAATCAGTTAACAACCTGTAATGGAAATCATCCTTCAAAGCTTGGCTTGAATGCCTTTGAATTCTCAGAAAGTTAGTGTAAGTGTTGCATGTTCAAGACATACATGACTGGGACCGTAGAACTGACCTTAGCCCTGGGTAAGGTGAATTCCCAGAGGGTCCATAAAATGCAGAGTAGTCCTGATAGTCACAGCTGCATTGTCACTTCCCCCAAAGTTAGCATGGCTATCCTGATAGTAAGAAGTTTACTTCCAAATTCAACTACAAACCAAATTCATAGGTTAAGTTATGAATGAATGTTCCTTGATAGGTCCAGAATTATAAGGTGATTCAGTATTGTGATACAAAGAGTCTTACATCATACATAGCAATTATTTTTGTAAACTAATCTTGCTCTAAAGAGACTGCTCTAAAAGCTGAATGCAAGGTTGGTGACATTAGTAACAATCCAGTGTAAATTTAATCACAGAGCACAGCAATTTTCAAAATGACTCTACTATAGTAACACTTGCAAATTGGACCTTGGTATTTGGTTCAGTTTTGCTTACTGTGGATAAAGAATGGAATAAAATAGGTGGAATTTGGAGATATTAGGGAAAGGGAGGTATGTGAAGCAGCCACTGGAATCTTTTATTTTTTGAAAAAATTCAAAAAGATTTGGCTGGTATATCCGATAACTTTTACATTAGAAGTAAAATCAAGACTGGAGAGTAGAATCACTCTCCTATTTGGAAACTTGGGGTGTTTATAGATGTGCTCTGGGAGATGGGGGAAGAAGAGGGGATGCTGTGAGACCTGTGCTAATTAAAAGCTTCTGGAGCAGCATGTGTATCAGCATCCCTCCACTGAAAAATGGCAATAGGGTGTTTTGAGCTAAAGCTCATTAAACCACCATTTTTCAGGACAAAGACATGGGTACATGTGACACTGGAGACTGCTGAAGTGTGGTAATTACTAAGCTGCAGCAGACTTGATTAACTGAGTCTGCTCCAACTTGCTGTAATTACAGCACATCAGAGCAGCCTTCCTCAAAATGTATCAGAGCCCTTGCATGGGAGAGGGCCTTCATCTCATGTGAGAGGTATCTTCCTCTAGAATAAAACTGTCAGTCAGTATGTGGAACTTAAGGAACTTCCAGAGACCTAAACCTAATCAGGCAATTCCTTTTTTAAAAAAAGTTATCCCTCTTGTGTTTAATGGCACAAGGAAACTTATTCCTTTGCCTACACTTCACCTCAACAGTGTTCTTCACATACCCATATCCAAGTAATTGCTTAGTTTATTATATATGCTTTTCCCCTATAGTCTAGAAAGACTTCAATGTGGCCAGTATTTCTAGGAGAGTGCTAAGTTACCATAGTCAGAAAGCAAAATAAAATACTGTTGTCATAATTTAAATGTCTAAAGTCCAGAACTTAGGTAGGCTTAGTTTACATTCTAATTCGGTGCCAGTGCCTGTCTATACCATGTTTTGTTCTATTGCTATTAAGGTGGTATTCTGATTTTGGAAATGGTATATAGAACAAATATTTATCAGAAGGGAAAGAAATTGCAAAAGGCACAGTCTGGAGAAAATAGGTAACTCTGAGCTGGCATAGTGGACTCTGAAAAGTTTTAGGTGGGTGGTTACTTAAAAAGGACCTCATATTAAACCCAGCACTGGTTCCTACAGTAGACACTTAGCTAAAGAGTTTTTTTGGTTTTTCCCTCATTTTTAGAGATTATTGCACTTTCAGTTTAAACAGGAAAATACATTTTAAATTTGTGAATCTTTCAACATGGAAGAGACCCTAAGTGAGACTGGAGAGGGTGGTTAGGTAGGATTTCTTATTGTTTTCCTTGTTTAGGAACAGAGTACACATAGTTCCTCCTTCTTTATTCCTTTAGGCTGATTTAGACAATGGTATTAAAGGCAGTGATGATGGTCAGCTACCATTTTTCACTACATCAAATCCAAGTGAATATTCAGAGTCAGAACTCTAAACTGTTAGGACTTCACCTCTTTCCAGTGCTCTGGGCCAGTTTGGACTATCAATTAATTTAAAGTTAATCTGTGTTAGGCTCACTTGGATATAAGCTACCAATTTTAGTGCATAGCTTATAACCCTTCTTAACACATTTTTTTTTCTAGATGAATCTAATGAGTCTCAACTATCTCACAAGTCAAGGGACAGAAAAAGTAAATGTAGCAAGAAGAGCAGCTAAATAGAGGTAATGCATCCTTACTTGGACTTACTTCTGTTTAAATAATCTTCCAGTTGTTTGACATCTGAGTTGAATCAATTTAAACTCCTTTATGGTAAGTGTGTCTGACTGGGGAGGTATACTGAAAAGAAGAAAAAACAGTTTACAATGCATTAAAGCACACCTTTGAGTTTGGCCCACCGTACCTCATTGCCATTGAAAAATTCTATTGATTTAATAAATAGGAAACAGTGCATTATCACAGGAGTTTTTATATGTTGCCGAACCACAATTGGAAGCTAAAAATTGCTGCCTTGCCTCTAGTGGGGTTTATTGCCTAAGTCACAAGAAACATGAAAACCCCAACCTCCAGAAAAGGTGGTGGCAAAATTCCAATAGAGAAAACCCAAGTAACTTTTGTAGATCAAAGTCCACCTCCGTTTCCTGTATATTATTATCTATTACCATCATATTTTAGTATAATCTACCACCACAGAATTATACACCTGAATTTAAATCTGCACTGATACAAATACCAATTCCTTTTATAGTTTTGGCTGACAGGCCTTGTTGGAACAATCCCATCAAAATTCTTCCCAAGAGACTTGATGCACTATCAATATAACAAACCCAAATTTGCTTCATTAAAACTATTTTTTGAGAAAATAAAATGGTTCTAATAGATGGTGAGTTTCCTTTTTTATTCGTACTGTCACTGCACCTTTTTAAATGTAAAATGTGACTTTGCTGTAGAAACCCATTAAAGAGAGATAATATTTCATTCAGGTAAGTATTGCCTTTCCGCTTAAAGGGAAAACACCATTGTGAGCTTAGTAAAGAATTTAATTTGATGTATATCTGCAGGAAGTAAGCCTTACATCAAAAAGTAAGTACCAGCAGCTGGGTTCAATATGGGATTTGACACTGTTTTCTATAAGCTCTTTACCAAATGTGTGCAGTTTTTGAAATAGCCACATGCCCACCTTATTATGATCCTTTCCTGGAAAGAGAAATACCTTTAATCTTAAATATGACATTCACATGCTTATTTTTTAACGAATTGATTTAATATGAAGGATTTTATTTCCTGTTTTTTATTAAGATCCAGGTTCCTTGTCAAAGTACTGCCGTAAGTAACAAGCTATAGCACATCCTGTTCTTCATTAGAACAGGCAGGATATCAAAGTAAAATACATAAGAAACATAAATGTAAAGGAATTTTAGGATTGAACTGTAATCTATACCATGCCAGTGACTTAATAAGGATCTCAAATGATAAAGGAATTCAAGTCTGGGCAGCATAACTAGAACTGGAGCAAGCACTTTTTTTTGCAACTTCTGATCTCAACTATTTTATGCTATTAAAAACAGCATTTTCTTCAATCAGTATTCAAATTAATTTTTAAAAGGTGCTTGGACTAAATAAATAGAAGGTATAACATCATTAACTACAACTGTCACATTATTAGCAAATATTCTTATTCAAATTAAGGTTTTAAAAACAGAAGCTGTCTCTTGTTTTTCAGTAATTTGTTGTTTGCCAGAATCAAGTCACATCTATTTCTGCTGCAGATGGATGAACTTAAACCATGCTAGGAATATTGATTAATAAGCAATTTATTTTGGTTTTGTTACTATCCTTCACGTTACTTTTTTGGAAAGTATTTGAGGTACAACTTACTATTGCTACTTTTATGGAAAGCTGCTTGTGAAAGCAAATGTGAGTATATATAGTCTGGAACTGCAGTAAATCAACATAACTCAAACTGAGAATATGTATGATTAATTACAGAAAAATGTAAAACATGAAATAACACGTTTAAGGAAATTGGATGTGGCAGAGAGTACCAGCATGTTTCCACAGCAATCAGAAGGGAGATTGCAGCATGGAAAGTCATGACCATCCTAGCTTTAATTTACCTAGCATGACTAACAATAGGAATGAAGATGTGGCAGCATGGGCTACAGTGTTGGCTAGCAACTAAAGTATACCAAGAGTCCCTGATGGGTTCATTGAAGAAGCCCTTGCTGCTGAGTCATCACTGCTATTGTTAGCTGTTCTAGCTAGATTAAAGTTGGTGTGGACTTGCCTAATAGTGCTGTAATCACACCTATAGTTGCAGTTTAGACATACAAATGTGTTCACATTTTTCCCTGTGGGTTTCCTCTACTATTTATTTTAGGTATTTTCCCATAGGTCATTTAGTCATAAAATTAAATTTGCAGAGAGTGTCACCACAGAACAAAGAACAAAATGGTGGCTGATGTGCAATTATTTCAGGATTCTGGGGATTTGAGGTAAAATTTCCTGAATGAATAGCAGCATGGTAACTTATTAAGCCTACCTGCCTTACAAATACTTAAGGCCTCTGTAGGCACTGATATGTGATGATCTATGGCCATCCACTCAAATACAGTGTAAGCCACTTCAGTTGCTTATGCAAAAAATTTAAATAATGTAAATAACACTAGCTAAATTAATATTGAAATCAATTAAAAGACATCACTTAAGCATTCATACTAACTGAGCAGGATTGGTCTCAGCTTTTTGCATCTTATTAATACTTGTACATTGTTACTTAGAGCTTGTATACATTCTCAGCAGCATAATTAAGCCATGTAACTGGGGCAGCAGCCCTCCGCCTTTGTGGAGGCAGTCAAAACAGTCATACAACATACTATTCTGTTGCTCTTGCTTTTTTATCTCCTGTTCTCATTGTCAGGTTTCAAAGTACTGAGATCCTTGCAGCAGACTCTTCCTCCATTTGGGGCAGTTCTTGGCAATAGTCTCCCATGAGTTGATGTTGATGTTGCATTTTTTTCAAGTTGGCCTTGGGGATGTCCTTAAAGTACTTTATCTGCCTTCCTCTTGAGCATACTCCTTGACTGAACTGGGAGAATAAAACTTTCTTCAGAAGTCTGGAATCAGACATCCAGATGACTTTGCTAGTCCAACGAAGTTGATGTCAGATGATCATCACCTCAATGCTCATGGTATTTGCTTGTGAGAGGACACTAAAGTTGGTGTGTCTGTTTTCCCACGGGATTTGGAGGAACTTCTGCATGCAGCATTGATGGTACTTCTTGAGTGGCTTGAGAGGTCTCCTGTACATCATCCACATTCTAGCTCCGTACAGTAAAGCGGGGATCACGACTGCTTGATAAACTATGAGCTCGGTTTCAGATCTAATGTCACAATCTTTGAACACCCATTTCCTCAGGCATCCAAAGGCTAAGGAGATGTTAGTTTTCTTCATCAATGTCGGCCTTCTGCAAGAAATGGCTTCCAAGGGATAGGAAATAATTAACTTTCTCCAGAGTTTCATCATGAATCTGAATTAATGGAGGAGGAGACTGCTTGTTATGGAGGACCTTAGTCTTCTGAATGTTAAGCATCAGTCCCATTTTCTTGGATGTCTCAGTAAAGATGTTGATGATTGCCTGAAGGTCTGCTTTCAAGTGAGCACACACTGATGAGTGAGGTCAAGCTGGACTTCGTTTTGGCTCAGTCAACTGAGATTAAACAGTTTACCATCCATTCAGTAACTTAACTCCACTCTGACTGGAAGCTTGTTGGTGGTCAGATGTAGCATCCCGGTAAGGAATATCAAGAAGAGTATTGAAGTGATAAAGTTGAAGGCTAGTAATAGTGCAGTACCTAAGAAGGATCAAAAGAATTAACTACACACCTTGTATCTCAGGCAGTAGGGCTGTGCGAAATGGGCACTGTTCGATTTGGATTCGGCCCAAATCAGGGACAGTGATTCAATCTGTTGATTCAGATCACTGTTCCTGATTCAATTATGGCTGAATCTGAAGATTCAGTGCTAATTCGGCAAATCAGCAATTTGGACACAGGCACAACTTAAAAGTTTTTTTTCTACCTGTCTTGAGGTAGCAGGCATGGCTCGTGTTTGCTGGGGTGCATGGAACATCCCACAGAAGCATAGGGGGCTCTCTAGCGTGCTCGGCAGTGAACCCAGAAGTGGACCGGAAGTACTTCTGGTCCTCTGCCAAGGAGTACTGGGGGGCCTCCTGATGCCCCCCAGCTCAGCGATTGGCCACGGGGGGACCCCGGGTGACCCCCCCACACACGCTGGGCACCAGTCGCTGAGCCGGGAGGATGCAGGGGCTAGGTGATTTAAATGAAACACTTCTAATATATAAATCTATATATCATGGTGTTTCATTTTAATCATGGAAAAATGTGGATTTGGGGTTACTTTTTTTAACTGAAAATTGGGATTTTTTTTGAAGTCAGAGAAAACCAGGATTCCTGTTTATATGTTTCCAGAGGTCTAATACCAGAAAAAATTCTGAAGGTCCTTCCTCATACGCAAGTGACTCTAAATGTCACCACTCCTTCATAATAGGTGAATATTTTACTAGTAAATGGCAAAATGCTTGCAGTAGGCAACAGTATGGTACCATTTAGCACCCACAGCATTTTTAAACCCTTCAGAATAATAAAAATGTTATTAAGAAGCTCATTCTGAAAGATATTGCTATTTGAATATGAAATAAAGAAGGATTTGTCCTTCATTTTGAAAACTATCTCCACATTTGATTCTATTATAGTTTCTTCTTGGCAATCAAGTCCAAAGATTAGGACTAAGTAGAAACTGGATATGGAATCTGAATCTGAATTCCACTTTCATCCCTGTTTTAATTATTAATATTGCCTGTTGGCTCAAATGGTTAGTCCATATTTGGAGCCTTGTCAGGTTGTTTCTAGAAGGAGAAAACTTGATGATATACATCAGGTATTTCTCTGGTGCTGTCATGTTTATTTTCAGTAAATTCAGACAATGTTTGGTTTCCCTGCACATTGTAGAAATGAACAGAAAGTAGGTTCCTCTCATAATTTCATACTGCCATTCCAGTCAGTCATGTGACCAGGATTTCTATCATTGCTCGCTCTCAGTGCCACCCTTGGGCTTGCTTCAGCACCTTTGTTATTGCTTTCTACTCTGACATGTGCAGACACACATAGCTCCAGCCAGAGAAAGCCCCAACCTCTCCTTCTCAAATTAGCTTTTAGGAAACTCCTCAGTACAAAGAATTGAGGCCTTGCTTTGCTGGTTGGCGCCTCATACATGGTTGCCAACCCAAGCATCACCAAACAAAGGAGTCAATACTCCCCCATTTCTGTGGAGGAAGGATGCTATTAGCTTTCATGAAGTCTGTGATTGCCTGTAGATTAAAAAGATAAATACAAAAAAAGCCCTGTATGGGAGTACCTATTAACATCTTTCAGAATTTTATTAATTACTTATTGCATCAGGGCTGTAACTTGCCCATCAGCATATAAAAAGATAGTTCTTCTTCAAAGAGCTTACAACTTAATAGGCCTAAGCAGGGTGACTGATAGGCCAGAGATGGACTAACTAAAACCAATTTACAATTTGACGGGTCCTGACTTTATCCACTAGCATAGCATATAAAATGACCCACTATTCATCTCTATTGAGGCCAGCTCAAACACTTCACTTGCACTGGAAATGCATAAAGTCTGCTTGCCAATGCTCCCTGGGAAACATGGTCTAAGCAATGACTTAATCCTCTTTAATCCCTGATTGAAAAATTACACAGATACCACAAACTTTGAAGGAAGAATACATTAGAAAAAGCCTTGAAATAACCCAGGCTTGAATATTTTCAGGGGCAATTGGACACTAAGAAATATTTCTAAATACAGCCTGATTTCCCCCCCCCTCAGAATTCCCCCTACCCCTTTGTTTTTTTGGTGCAAGAGCTGCATCATGCATAGCCTACTTAAATCAACATTAAAGCATGTGGTAACCCTGCCCCATGAGCAAGGACTCTTTTTCCTGTAAAAAAAAAAAAATGCTTTACACACTTGCAAGCCTAGGGCAAGCTTAGTTTAAATCAATGGAGAATTTAAAAGTGAGAAGGGGAGGCAAGGGTTGGAAATTAGGACAGCAGCAAACATACTCCACCTCAAAGCCAGAGGGGTTGAATGCCAGTCATCGTTTGGTTTGAGGGACCGGATATGTGAAAGATAAGGAACATTATGTTCTGTGAGAATTACAATGAGACAACATGGAAGGTGAGTGCCAAATGATTTGCCCCTGTGTCACAAGAGCCTAATAATTACAGATGCAGCTAAGGCTTTGTTGTGCATTAGCAATTAAGTCACAGCATGAGATTTCAAAAGGGAATGCCAAAACAATGCTCCTTTTTTTGGCTCCCCATTTCTACCCCACATATTACCTCACTATGTATTTAATTTAAATGAAGGAGAATAGACAAAACAAAGCTGTTCACAATAACAGAGGGTACAATCTTGCAAGGTGCTCTTAATTTCTGTAAAGTTCAGTGAGGGTGAGCAGCACCTCACAGGAAGTACAGTGTGAGATCATGCCCCAAAGTTGGAGCAGTCAGGCATGAACAGCACAGATTAAGAAACTTTTATTTTCTTCCTCTAGCTTTTCAGTAGAAATTCACCAAGTGGGAGGTGTAATGAAGGGGTGAAATCCAGGAGAACGTTTTTTTTTCCTGGACCAGTCACCTGAGATGGTTCAAAATTGCAAAATGCTATGCCACCGGAGGGATGGCTCAGCAGCTGTTGACTCATTAGTCATTACAGCAGGGCTATATGTAGCCTTGAGTTTTGTTGTGAGGGTGATTAGGTTAGTAATTAGTCTTAAAGGTTCAGTAGAGATTCACAGGGGCTGGTCAGAGAGGAGAAACATATTCACGTTCAAATTCTGCCCTCAGATACATACATGCTACATGCCTACATACTACATGCCTTACAATAAATAGGGAATATTTGCATGTGTTAACACAAAATTAATATATATCAAAGGAGAGAAACATTTTTATAATTTATTTCCTTGAAAAATTACAAAATATCTTAGTTGAATATTTATATAATCTGGAAGATAGAATACATATCTGGTTCTAATACCGTATGAGAAAACAACAAAAATCCCTTTGAACTGGTGTTTCTGTGATGAATTTGTCCATGAGCTGGATTGGTGAGAGTGTGTGTGTGTGTGTGTGTGTGTGTGTGTGTGTGTATTTTGCTTACACTTTGATAAGAATATTATAGGCCTTTCTGAATGCATTAAAATGAGTAAGATATTGCAAATTTTTGCCAGAAGATGCTCACCAGTGTTGCGCTTAAACTCTTGTAGCAGCAGATGTAGACAATGTACAAAAACATGGCACGTGTGTAAATTTGCTATCTCGCTGCTTTTGCTACTCTGGCTCTATTGTCAGTAATAATAATACCAGGGGAAGGACTTTTGGAGGGAAGCCAAACATTTATTTGGTCTTTAGGCTTTGATAGTATGTTGGCAGCTGTGTGATCTTTGTTAAATTCAAAAATGCAAAGTGTAGCTTGTTTGTAAGAATCAGATGAGACTGTTGAGACAGATGCTTTCTGGAATGATACCCAGTGAGCTGCAACACTCATGTAAATGGAGCTGTTGTCCACTTGTCCACATATGTTGACATTTGCTTGGTCTCTGGGGTTGTTTAATTAAGTTGGGATTCGGTGTTATACAAATGCGACATTGTGTGATCTTACAAGGGAAATATGCTGTTTCAAAGCCCATCAGGGTATGAGCCCTCTATTCTAGAATGAAAGAATATAGAAGATAAACACTAGTCCTAACTGGCACTCTTGCAGAGATAATCTTTTGGGAGAATATGGAGACACTTAGCTCTCCAAGTTAGCTCTCTGCTTGTTTTAGCTGGCATGCTCATTAATCCCTTGCCAGGAGAAAGAG